CTCACTGCACTTTAGCCCGGGTGCATACTGCTTCCTATTCTCCTGCTCTGACCAGCTGCCCCGGCTTCGTTCCAGACCCTGAGTCCTTCCTGTCACCTTTCATTACCACATTATCCAGGAGGAGGCTCCCTGTGAAGCCGGGAAATCACCATTTGGTACTCCCCCCTCCGTTTATGTAGTATTGTGTGAGACATTGAAAGCCACGCGCAACATCCTCAAAGGAGCGCTGCTGCCTTGTTACCTGCTAATCCCCTGTGCGTTATCACAGGAGATGCAACTGAACAACAGAGCATGACGAAGGCAACAACTGAGACATGACAAGCTCTCAGTCCATGAATTGCTTTGTGCTGCAAGATTCTCATCACACCGGCTTCAGTGTATGAATATATATTATTTGATTAACTATTAAAGCCCTGCCCGTTGTGATAACAAATCGACCTGTGCATTATGTGACAACATGTTTTTGATTATGGACAAAACCAGATAAAAACCAGAGAAGCAAGCCATCAATGAGGGGAATTAATTCAGTAGCAGCTCCGCTTAACGTTTATACTGTTGTCCTATTTCCTATTTCAACTTTTCCTCTAAGAGAGAGAGAATCCAGGCCCACGGTCCTCCTCCAGCACTTCTTGCATTGCTTTATTACACTTGAATGAGTTGAGCTGAAAATTGCATGCAGCTGCTGACTGCAGCGCATCAGTGTTTGGGCCTGGGCTCTGCCTTGCCCACCAGGCTTGAAAAATCATTCAGTAACTGATCTGTCAAGACTGTGAGCCACATCTATGCTTTCTGTAGGGACACTGGTATGTTTTCTATCAAAATGTTATGATCACTGAAATCATAAATTGTATACAATTGTCAGTTGTTTTCACTGATAAATTGCATTAGTCAACTGGGATTAAGATGAGGACAGCTCTAACCCTACACCATTTAATCCGTACACAAAACCTTTGTTAAAACAGCCGCAATGTTTAATTCTAAGCAGTTTACTGCTTGAACAGTGACGACATTCTACAGGCAAAGGATGCAACGCGAGACTACTTCTATTCAAAACCATAAAAACAATGATCTGAGGATAAAGGATGAAGGAAGTAAAACTAAGCTAAATTAACATTCTGTATACAACAAAACATAAGTTGTTTCAGTGAAGTAGCTTTTCACTGGAAGAGATGATAACTATTATTATTTTCCAACCAAACTGGCAGTTGAGATAGGCACTTCATGCAAACTCATTCATGGGAATGTTTAGCAAGAGAAAAAAAAAGGTGACAGATATAAAGCCAAAGATTTAGTGCCATCTGTCCGTAGTCTTGCTTTTTACATCTTATCAGAAATCAGCTGAATGTGATAGGCGAGTTACTGAAGTATCAGGCCTCTCGCTCTCTCTCTCTCTCTCTCTCTCTTCAAAGCCCCAGCAGTGCTAAGCGAGCCATTCTGCATAGCTGTTCCATTTGTTAAGTTGTGCCATCTTGATCAGACGGTTAAAGGCGCTCTCCTCTTTGCCTAAGGAGAAGGCTCACTGGTCAGATGCATTACTTTAAAGAGCAGCATCTCACTGAGCATGTCACAACCTGCCCGGGGGCAGTGTAAGCGTCTGCGAGTTTGGGTGTGTTTATGTTTTATCCTCAGGACCCCTGATTGTTGTTCATTTCCTGCACAAAGACAAAATAAGCACATAAAGGCCAAAGTGTGCTCTTCGCCGGCGTTCACCCACATCACAGCACTTTTCCGCACAAGTGGCCGGCCACAGATAATTGTACAATTAAAACAATTTTCCGCATCTATCTGTCAGACTGATCTAATTCACCATTCGAATGACACTAATGGAGTAAGCCTCTTTCTCTCTCCTTCCCCCAGCGAAGCCTTTTCCTCTGTATCACACAACGCAGCAAAAACCATCTGCAACAGAGAAAAACAGACACAGCCAAGAGGAATAGTGTTGTATTTGTTCAGCAGGATGTTAGTGAATAAAGTTAAGACCAAGCAGTTTTCATTAGGACCCGAAGTGCGGCGAGGAAATAGGGAGGTTCATTTGACTGTTGGTTCAAATTAACCCTTGGGTGAAGAAAAAAGAAGAAACAGAGTGACCCCTCTTATTTTCTGAGACAACACTCCCCTTCAACCAGCACTGACATTAATAATTCATCGTGGCAAAATACATTACCAGAGTCGAACGTGACAGAAAAACAGTCACATTAAAGCTGGGTTCAGCCATTCAGCAGCAGCATGTGATAAAATGTTATCTTTCATTGTTTAAATGAACTGGAACATCTTTTCCCAAGTCAATATTGTGTGTTCAGTGTCTGATCTGAAGTATGAACTAGTATGTGCCATTTAGACAGACCCACGCAGGGTGGGAGCGACACAGGGAGGATTTAGCCAAACCCTGACCTGGATATCCTGCATCTCCGTCCACCCAGTGTGCACAAGGAACACAGATAGGAACCACTCCTACACAAGTTCAAGGGAAATGCCTGGCTCTGTCCTTCCCAACCAGCTCCACCAAGTACAATGGCAGCAGAGGAGTTTTATGTTTATGAGCTATCCTGATGGGGATACACATATCCATTAGATACGAGTCCGCCTATACAGGGGGTCTAATATTAAGCCACAAGCAAGTGCCCCATCAGCAGAGAGGAAAAAGCTGCCTTTTATGGCAACAGATCACAGACTCAGGCCATTGGCCACAAAGCCCACAAATGAGGCGTTAAGTGTAGTGGCAGGGCAGCAGAGAAACAGGAGCAGAGAGATATGACCCTCTCCTCATCCATGCATGAATCTGCCCTTTGCCTCGCTTTTTTTCTCTCTGTCTGTCTTGCTCTCCACCACTCCCCCTACAAAAAAAAAAGATCAAAACATGCTTAACTGCCCAACAACAGTCACCACAAAATAACAACTGTCACCTGCAGCAGAATTCATCAAACCATAGGTAATTTTGCCGTCCTGTAATGTAATTTTTATAATTGAATGCTAATTCTTGTACAATATTTAAAGAGATTCCATAATGGATGTTTTCTGTAATTAATTGCCAGATAGAGGCAGGGCCAGTGCGGCAAAGTTAAAAAAACACAACCTGACATGGATATTGGGAAAGAGAGTACGGCGAGGGGCCTGCTGGGAAGGTTTCATCATCGTGCCTGACCCCCCCTGCTGCTGGCAATGGCAGGAGATGAAGGAGGGGGGGGGAGCAGGGAGGAGATAGACTCCTCTTCACAGTCAGAGATTTAATTGCACGCAGATTCCATTACCTCTGCACAAATGTCACATTCTCTTCTGATCAGGGGGCACGGCAGCCACTGGCAGCGTAGCTGGCAAGCAGCCAGACTATAGTGCAGAAAGTGTTCAGCCAATCAGGGCTCCCGTGGCAGACAGAGGTGAGCAGAGGGACAGAAAGACTACAGTACGCCAAAGATATTAAAAAAACAAAGGAGAGTCACGAACACAAGGCAGCTGACTGTGCAACATTCAGGTAGAGGGCAATACGCTGTGTGCCAACAGATGTCAAATGTTTAATTGATTTTAGGTGTGCAATCAACTGTATTTATTATTATTATTACTATTATTACCAGTAAACCATTGAAGTCAGCAAAGGTTGGCTAATATAGGTGTACTTTTCATATTCACATATTTACAAGATCATTATATCATTACAAATGATATAAAAAAATGACACTGCAGTTTAATATCTACTTGCCACACTGCTTTCATAGTTCACTAACAAGATGCATAAAAAAGTACCCTCAAGCACTAAAAACATTTGGATTTTTAAGCATTTTACATTCATGACCAAAATATTTGAGCTCATCATGCAAGATTTTCAACTATTCTGGATGTTTAATCACTTTTATATCAAAACATTATCTGAAATGAAAGGTAACATTTCAAATATAGGTCTGCAGTCTGACAGTTATTTTGATTATTGATTAACCTATCAGTTATCTTTTCAATTAATTGATTAATTGTGGTCTACAAAATTGTCATAAAATCTTTAAAAAACTGTGAAGTTCCCAGAGCCCAAGGAGATGTCTTAAAATGTTTTGTGTTGTCCAACCAACAGTGCAAATCCCCAAAGATATTCAGAGGACAAAGAAAACCAAAAAATATTCCCATTTGAGAAGCTGTAACCACTGCTATTTTGCAAATTTTGCATTAAAAGAAATTGTTAAACGATGGCTTGATTATCAAGATAGTTGCAAAATCAACAATTATTGACAAGGTCATCTTAAAACATTGTAAGAGGAGGTAAAGGTTTTAGCCAGAAATCCTCCAATTCAATGGCTGACACAATTATTAAAAATGTAACTGAAAAATTAGTTGTTTTCTACACAGATTTTTGAGCAGTGGTGAGTATTTTGAGTATTTTTCTGAATACACTATATAATCATTAAAGCATTTTCACACAGGTAGTTAGCGAGTGAGAGTGGACAGATAGTGAATCCTTGTCAAGATCTTCTAGTTGAATGTAAGAAGATTATATCAGTGTGTTAAGCTTATTCATTTAATAGCTCTGAATCGGGACCTCCAGGACAAAGGGTTGTGAAGTAGGCCCTGATTGGCTCTGCTGATTCTAAACTGGGAGAACAGCCATTCAAAGGAGCAGTCCCAGACCTTTTTAAATCACTGGCAAAATCAGACATGTGGGCAGCAGTTCAGAGGCCTGGAACCAGTCTGCACAAATACAGCCTGTAAATTGTAAATTATACAAAATAATTGCAATATTGGTCAGTAAAATCACAATTTGATATTTTCCCCAAAACATTCCGCCTAATTCTGTACTGTTGGTGTCTTTATCATTCATATCCATGCTCACTGGCCTAAACAGCTGAACAATTAAACTGATGAAAAGCTCAGAATACATCTGCTGGGATCTGCTTCAAGCTAATTATGGCCTGATACAAATAAGCCTAATAGTCCGTGTTTTGGAGTCACTTCACAGACAAACAGCACACACATTACTGTATGAAATAAGAGACGGGCCTAGTGGGACGATTGCTACATACCCTGATCACTAGTGCAGGGCCGATTGGCACTCCATTCCTCCAATCAGAATTCAGCTCACAGTCTTGAGGGCAGGACCATGGGGGTTTCACAGAGGACACTGACAGAGAGAAAGACACAGAAAAAGAGAGAAGGAAGGAAGGGGAAAGATACAACTATTACAAACAGGAAGTGATGGTGTATGGTGGGGAAAACCCCTAACCTGGTCCACTGAGCCCACATGTACAGAAATGACATAAGGACGGGCAAAAGTAAAAGTGATCATCATCAGCCACAAGTGTTTGAAATGTTATGACACACTGATTCCTGCTGGCATCTCCTGGCCTACATGCATATCAAGTTATCTTTCAAATCTGAACATGCAGATAAGCAACTATGACAGACGCGTGATGTAAAACACGACCAAGTGTTTGTATCAGTTTCTGTGGCTCACTTCTCACATTGAAGCAGTTAATACCACAGGTTGCCCTTTATTAACTTATTGGAGAAGCTTCGTAATAATACCCACATGAAAAACACATGCTGCCTTAATGTCATATAGCTGTATGTGTCATAGTGGACTGGAATTGTAATAAAAACAGATATTCAACCACACGTACTGTATTTGTTTCCACTGCCTACAGGACTTGAAACTGCATTTTCAAGTTGTGTGGGGTCAACTGTTAAGTGACTGGGCAACTACTCGATAATCGCTTAATCGTTTTGAGTCATTTTAAGGAAAGAAATGTCCAAATTCTCTGATTTCAGCCTTTCAAATGTGAATGTGAAATGTTGGGTCCGATCAACATTTTTCACAATTTTCCGGACCAAACAACTAATCGATAATGAAAATAACCATTGGTTGCAGCCCTCATTTAAAGTTCCCCAACATGCAAAAAGCAAAAAGCGACATTTTTAATACATTACTGATAGCACGTTACAAAAGGTAACAAGCCAACAACATAAACAATGAGACTGTTACTACAAAATGCTGATGTAACCACTGTAGCACACTACAAAGCTACATGATGGTGTGATACCAACACACTAAAATATATTAAAACAATAATACAGAAATGAATATACAAAGAATAATAGTGACCTACAAACCCTGCAGCGATCTCCACATCAGTATAGAAACAAATGTTTGTAATGTTACATGTTTTTTTTACATTAATGATGCATGACTTCTACCACTACAAAACATCTGAAGCAAGCTGGACGTTCTGTTTATTCAAAAACCTGGTGTTAAGCTCAAAAGCATTCATCTGTGGCCAGATAAACAAGTGGAAAGATGCTAATGACTTCCAGATACGGTTCACATCATGCAAATGAGGCAGCAGAATGGATGGCTTCTGGTTTTGTCCCTGTCACAGGAGTCATGGCTGCATGTGTGGCTTGTTGCCCTGTGATATATGTGCGCACCACTTTGCTGTTTAATGTGGCTGTTGTCTCCGGCAGCACAGCAAAGCAATTCAGGTCCCAGTTAATTGGCCTGTTCTGTGAGAAAGCGTGTCAAAAACCAAATCTATAACTCTGTTTGTGTGTGTAGCGGTGTAGCTCTCCAACCAGACACAACAAACCACAGCGCCGACGTCCCAACTCCTCGTAATTCACCAGCGTGGAATTCAACTAACCCCATTAGTGCAGCCGTTGTTTCCACAGCCCGTCCACATTCCTGGGCCTGCCATCGGCCCCAGATAAGACCCCTCTGATTACTCGCTTGCATCCCTGTCATTACTCCCAAAAATATTTTGATCCCAAAAGACAGCTCCACACCCAAGGATTTATAGCTGCACTATTGTATCTCCATGCCCCTCACGAGGAGCACTCGCTTTTAGAAAGTCCCTTCACCTTGAGATCAACGACAGAGGGGTGACTTCAGCCAGGCTGCCTGCCGTGTAGCCCACATACAGCTTACTCAACTACTTGATGGGAAGATTCAAAGGAGATTTACGTGCTGTCTCACAAAAGGGACGTTAAAATAGCTTGGGAGTGCATACACTGATTTTGAGCCTTTATTGCAAATTAACAAGCACTGGATTTTAAAAAGTGGTTAGGTTTTATTGTGTAATCCGCCCATAAAAATGACTAAACAACCAAACACCCCGAGCTATACAGCATGCTAGGACGCCGACGCAACGTTACAACATTTTTACCTCTGTAAAAACTGTAAAGCATTCTCGCTTTGTGGACATTTGCATGGCAGCTGCTCGACACTCAACTCACTCCTACTCTGGAAACATGTGGTTGTAATCCCCCCTTTTCACTCAAATTACAAACTATGTCAGTTGCTGAAGAAACTCCACATCCAGCCACTCGGCAGCATGTGTTAATTGCCACTCGTTTGTGAGTTTCCAGGCAAACTAGACAGGCATTTGAAGCTGTCCATCTTGTTGAGGAGTATGAGAAAGGTCAGAAGTTAGCACCCGTCAGGTGCCAAATGATAGCTTTTGCTATATAAATCAGTATGCGCCACCTGCTGCACGCTTCAAACACAACATATGGAAATATTTCTTGCATACTGTCATTGCTGTCTCTCCTTAAGCTCTATCACTGCTGACAAACATACACTCCATGAATCAGGCAGTTAGTCTTACTATGGGTTATACGTTTCTACAATGGCTGAAACTAATTTTAGGCCCTGTTTACGCAGCGTTTTTTGCATAAAACGGTAAACTCTTGCTGTAGTTTGGTCTTACATTCACACAACACTTCTAAAAACGGGTTCCAATCTTTGAATAGCCAGACAACATGCCTGCATATCTGTGTAGTTTGACTAGCATGATTCCCAATCAAGGTTTTGGATGCCATATGGTCCAGGGTCACTCTGAGTAACAAACCCACTTCACACCCACAAATGTATCTGTATTCAAGCACGCGTTTACCGGCTTCTCTTCCCTTTTGTACTCACCGCGCTGTAGAGGGAAGCATCTGTACGTTCTTCTTTGGTGTTCAGTAGCAAAGTTACACCGCTACCAACAGGCCTTGCATGCATCATTTTTTCCGATCTGTGTGCTCGAGGATTGTTTTTAAAACGAGTTTGTATGCAGAACTTTTTTTAAATGCAAAGAAACGTACGCAGGACCTTTTTTGACTCCTCTACAGCACCTAACACACATTTGCTTGTCTCACACATGTTTGTAGTGCATTCAGAAGCTCAAAGTACATGCTCTTGTAAGAGCTTTCATTTTATTTTACATTACAGTCTGCATTCAAAGGTACATTTCTGCAGCACCATTATTGTCTCTTAGCATCTCATATTCTATCACTTGGTGTTGCCAAGGATGTTTCATAGGAAATAGGAGCCGAAGCCAAATCTGGAAGCACCATCTACAGAAATGCAAGTCAGATGTGCTCTGTCACATTTTGGCACTGGCTATAAGTGAGTCAGTCATCATACCTAGAAGTGTGTGGCTTCTCATTGCATGGACACCAATGCTGAAGATGCACCCATGGTGTCTTCATTAAATTAGCTCTGCGTTGTCACGTTGTACCATGATTTACAAGGGGAAACTTGTGTAACTTATTCAAATTGTCAAAAATCAGCAAATCTGAGAGTGAAAAAGGAGACCTGTGGCACTGTAAGTCATAAACAAGGGATGATATTTACAACAGACTGCAGAGCCGGCATCCACAAAATCTAGCAGCCTAACTGACGACCCCTCAACCAGCGAGCCAGTGATCAGGTATTGCACAGACGGTGACTGCAGAGGGGGACATTGGTGCTGCTGTATCAAATCAATGGCCTGACCCATTAAGTCACACCACTCCCGGTACCTTCATCTAATAAGAGCCGGTCTTTGGGAACACCCACGGCTGACCCATGCTGCTGGGGACAATTACAAGAGAGTGGTCTTTCAGGGCCGACGCCCACTTGACCCGGTAGCGTAAAGACACCAAGGAGATCCACATGATTTAAACTCCTCCCCAAGACGTGCTGACAAGGTTAGAGGGTCAACGCAGACATTAACAGGTCAGTGTGTGGCCCACTTGGGAACAATTACTCCCAGTCACAGCTAAGTGGACACTTGATTGAACACGACAGAGGCAGGACACACTTCCCACAGATAACAATCCCCAGAGCCATTTAGGATAAAAAGCCCTTGTGATACAGCCTTTATGGGCAAAATTCATCTTCCTTTTCCCTTTTAGAAGAATGTGAGAGTGTGATAGAGAGCCATTCTCTGGGAAAGATGAGTCTCTCAAAGCATTACCATTTTCTAGCAATACTAATAGCTGCTTATGACACAGAAACAATTACAAGGTGACTGGGAGAAAAAGCTAAACAATGGGACGAGCTGTTAAGATTTCATTTTTCATTCATGGAGAAAACAGTGATCTGGCAAGAAGGAACTGTTGTGTCTTGCAACAGACTTTGACAGAATATTTTACAGTGAGGTTCAAAACAACAGCAGCAGCAGTAAAAGAGCGGTGACAGAAATATACCATTCGGTGATAAATCTTGCATCCCTAATTAACTGTGTGGCTGCTGCAGTCTTTTATGCTCTTCCACCTTTAACCTACTGACAGTTTGACCCCTTTCACACCACAATGACTAAAACTTTGCCTCCAACATCTGCTGTCTTGTGTGTACAGGCAGCAACGGACACCCTGCCCAGTTCTGACTCGTTTCATGTCACAACTCGACAAACAGTTTACGTGTTTCATCATAACGTGTACATGTACTGGAGAAGAGAGAAAAAAAAACTAAACAGATGTTTGTGGGTTACTACTGCAGATAAAATAGCAAACTTAGTAATGTGCATCTCTGTGTAAAATGGTCACTCTCGTCCTATAGTCTCTTCGTACACAAATAGAGCTTATCGATTCGCCAACACATTTCACCAGCATTTGCATAAGCTGTGTGTTATTTGTGGTATTGTTTCTTTTTTTTCCAGGGGCTTAGTTTATTTATTTCTCTGTGTTAGGAAATCAGTTTCACATTGTCCCTCGATCTGCAGCGGTGGCTGGTGCTGCAGCTGTTGGTTGTTAGTGGCTGAAGATGACACAGTTCACCACTTCTCCAGAAGACAGCCAGCCCAGAGAGCAGCACAGCTGCAGAGCAGGAGGCAGACTGCAAAACGCACCGAGAGGAGAGGAGACTGGGCCTTATTTCAA